CTCAAAATAGAGTGGAAGAAAAGGGAGTGTATCTAAATCGCGAACGCGTACGGGGGAAAAGCCTAAATAGAAGGCTTTCCCAGATTCGTCCGCAAAGAGTGGCGGCTGTGCGCCTCCCACGAGAACCACAACTCTTCGCTCCCCGCCCACGTAACCGTCTCCACCACCAGGGGTGGATAATTTTGGAAAGCTCCCAGAAAATTCCTTGCCGGAATATCAACACCTACAGTGAGCGATGGCGGCGTGTGCCCATCGCCTGTCGGCAGCAACGCTTTTAGACAGAGGAAAGGTTAAAGACATACCTGGTACTACGTTTGATCGAAATTCTTGATAAAAAAAAAGATGGCATGCATATGTGGAGGCCACGAAGTCAAGCGATCTGACCGGTGTAGTTACCTTCCGCCCCCTTCCTCTCCCCCTCCATCGTGACTGTCGCGCTCCGCAGTCGGGTGGAAATCCACTCCACTGCTAGGGGTGTTCAAGGAGCTGGGGGTCAGCAACATGCGGTGGGGGGTCGGGGGGGGGGGGGATTGGTTCATTGTTGGTCGGACCCCTGCCGTACATGCCGCCGAATAAATAGCATCGCGTTGAGAGAGAGAGAGATGATACTTGATGCTCGTTGCGTCCAAAACGGACGAGCAACAAAAAACTTAGGTCTACAACTTTGGGAAAGCCCTTGGCAGGTCTGTTGCCAACGCCATGGAGAAGAGGTCGACAACTAGTCTTCTTCTTGGTTGTGGAATAACGCAGCGAAAAAGTACCAACCAGCAACACCGCTCTGTTCGCAAATGTAGGGACCATTCGCACACCAACGTAAACATACACCAAATGGTCCATCCACTCGTCAAAACAGAGTGGTGTCCGCCAACCTCCAGGAACAACCGACAGTTCTTTTCCTGTCCGACGAGTTAAAACAGATGTGCGAGAAACACAACTCCACCCCACGATCGAAAGAGAGCGCGTGACGGGCCGGAAATTCTGTCTTTTACCCCCCGGTTCGCAAGAGAGGCAAAAAAAAAAAAAAAAAAAAAGTGGCCACGAAGGCGCCCGCGTCAGTTGGACCAGTACCGACGGATACTAGAAGGTACTGAGCGGAGACCGGAACGGTTTTAATGTGAAGATTACAACAACAACAACAACAACAACAACAACAACAACAACGGAAAAGACACAAGAAGACAAAGACGAGAACGAAAAACGTACCAATTGTCGCCCTCGCCGATCCCACCGAGGCCTCCATCCGATACAAAACTGTCGTCGAAGCCCTCGCCAAGGCTTCGAGACAAGCCAACGCTGAGAAACGATTACGTCGCCACAGGGCACAGGACAAAAAGAACCACGGACGGAAAGAAACGCGGGTAAAATATTTACTTGGACCGTATTTTGGCGAGAGTCAGAGAGAGAAAGAGAGTGCGTCGTGTTGACGTACTTAATGTGCGCAAAATAAGCAAAAAACACAACCTTCTGGGTTGTTGGATCACCCCCGATGCGCTGCAGCATATTAGCGTGTCCACTGCCTTTCCTATGCGTAGCTTCTTCTTTGATCTGCTGCTGCCTATTTTCTGCCGAGCAGTACTCGCGCCCTGAGACTGTTGTTTACGTCTCTGTCTCTGCCTCTGAGTTTCTTTCTCTTACGTCTGTCGGTCTGTCTGCTGTCTGGCCATCTATCTCTCCCTCTGTGCCGACGGGTTGAGGGCAGCAGCACCCCAGTGGAAGGGAAGGGAAGGAGCCACGTCCGCCGTGTAAGGACCCTCTGGGCCTACACCTATACCTAGACCCCGGTCCGCGTACCCCTACCCCCCCGATCGCGCGCTGCTGTCAACTCTCTCTCTCTCTCTCTCTCTCTCTCTCTCTCTCTCTCTCTCTCTCTCCTCTCTCTGGCTCTGCTCTCTCTCTCTCTCCACCGTACTCTTTGACACCCTAGCCTTCGTCTCGCTTCTTGGCACCGCGACAACCCGCGGCTTGTTTCCAGTACTGGCTGTCCTGCACTGCTACTGCTGCTGCTGCTGTACCATCTGTTTGGGACAATGACAATAGTTCTCCCGCACCACCACCCCTGCTACTACTGCTGCTGTACCTCTTCCCGGGATTGCTCACCACTGCTACCGTAACCTTTCGTGACACTGACTCTCCTGCACCACCGCTCGTACTACTGCTGTACCTCTTCCCGGGGATTGCTCGTCACTGCTGCCGTATCCTTTCGTGACACTGACTCTCCCGCGCCACCGCTCATACT